TTTAATAATTTAATTTATATTTTATTATTTTATAATTTGCTCAATTTACTTGTAAATATATTTATTTTACTTATCTTTAACTTAGTTATCTTTATTTTAGTTATAATTTTTTCTGCCAATGCCGCGTAAAAAGTAAAAATAATCAGAATATAAAATATGAAAAAAAGGTGAAAAGATAAAAGTTTGAATTAGTGAAAGAAGTTATGTTTCATTGATATTCATCTGGCTGAAGATTAAACAATTCATTAGCAATGCTAAAAACTGCTGTCAATACCAAATTGGCAAAAATTAAATATCTAAAAAATGTTGAATTCATTCACAATTTCATGTCATTTCATAATATATCTATTCTACAAATAAAAAAACAATTTTATTTATTTATGTCACATTAATGAAATCCTGGCAATGAAATCCTAAGTATGTGTGAAAAATGCATGGAAAATTTGATCCAGCTCATAGCTTCTGATTATAGAAAACTTGACACCTATATATATATATGCTTTTCTATATAACGGTAATAAACTCTTCGTGATCTTCCTGGCTGCTATATGGGTTACCAGTAAACGGAATTTTGTCACGTTGTCACTCTGCTCTATGCACGTAGTCCAAATCCGTCCAACTGAGCAACGACCTGTTTTACTGGCACATACTTTCTGTTCCATTCTGCATTCGACAGAAAACAAGAACGTAAAAGAGTGTGAAAGAGGACGAATAAACAAAGAGAAGTACAATCACGAAGCTTGATTCTCTCTGTCATGAATGCGCGTATACGCCTGGTGTTCCTTTTTCATTAACTTCGCCAATTTACCTTGGTTCCTTTTTTATTCTTGCTTTAGTTTCCCAGCAAGTACATGCAATTTGCAATTAAATCAAACTTACGACATTTCAGTAAGCTTTACGTCTCCAAACATTTCAAAGTAATATTTTATCGATATAATTCACTTTTGAGGTGGAACAACATACATGGAAGAACATAATAAATATAATGAACAATGTATATTGATATATATATATATATGCATATATATATATA